GTGTGTGTGTGTGTGTGTGTGTCTGTGTGTGTCTGTGTGTGTGTGTGGTGACCTACAGGAGAAGGCTGATCTCGGAGAGCTTAATTTCTCGCTGTGTTACCTGCCCACTGCAGGCAGACTCACTGCTACAGTCATCAAGGCCACCAACCTCAAAGCCATGGACCTGACTGGCTTCTCAGGTAAAGGATTAACACACACACACATCATGCTGCTGATGACCTCCAGCAAGCAGTCTGAAAACGCTGGGAAGCCAGTAAAAGGAAATGACAGAGAACAGCTGTCTAAAAAACAGCCACTGGGGATGGATGTGGATTCCTTGAGTTATTTCAGGTTTATGTCTTATTCGGACTGGCCCAACATGCAGTAGATATATTTTTCACAATGTAAACATAACAAGTAAACATGGTGTCATTTTTTTGGAATAAAAGAATAATTGAAATTCTATTTAGCACCAAAAGAAGAAGTTTTCTCCACCTACAACAGCCTCAACAGACCAGAATTAAATGCAGCTGCAAGATACAGCATGTTGCGTTCTGACTGAGGAATGCATCCCCATCTTTTGCTGTAAAACCAAAAAGTGTGTTTAAAAAACAACAACAGAATAAATCACTAACTGAAGTAGAAGTAGATGAAGTGTGTTAAGGGAAGTGCAGGAAAAGTCAATTATCATAAATCTTTGCTAAATAATTCCTGAAGTGCATCGAGCATTGACAGATTGATCGTTTCTAATTTTGAAATCTATAGAATTCAGAAGTTAGATCTATCCTTCAAGACTTAGAAGTGGACTTATGCATAATGAATATACTACCCGAAGCTATAAAGTTAATTACTGACAAACATAACAATCTGTAAAAATGAGTTACAATGTGTTCTTTTGTGATCGAAATCAGCTTGCAGGTGTAGCACCAATTATGTCTGCAGTGAAAAGACAAAAACAACTGTTTTACCCGTGAGACAGATGTTAAGAAATGTGATCGCTAAAGCTAATATTGAATTAACGAAAGTATTATAAAGGGTTTTATTCTTTAGTTATCCTTCACTTAAAGACTTGATTGCAACGGCAATGTCCTCTCAGATTAAATGAGATTTCAAATGCTAATGACCCCACGGCGTAATTATTGCCACGGTGATCCCCAGATGATTGCAGTGCCTTGAAGATGCTTTAAAATGCAGCTTAAAATGGAGTCGTGGGTGTGTGTGTTTTCCCTGGCTGCTGTCAGCGAGCGGCACATGTTGAATGGATAGCCGAAGTGATTCAACCTGTGCTGCTTTTCTCCCTTTGTGTTCTTAATCCAGCTTTGCCAAGGTGACTTGATTTTCATGCCTTTTATGTGTTACAGACGCGGATACCTGTGAGCACAATACCTAACAGCGTCTGCAGGAGTCTCCGCTTATCTTTTTCTCTCTGCTTTCTCCCCCTCTTTCTCTGGCTCCCTCTCTCTTTCTTCTTCACTGCTTCTCATCCCAATTCCTTCTCTTCCTCCCTTCTTACTCCCTTTTTTCTATACCTCTCTCTTTTCTCATGCCTCCCATTGTCTTCCTCTTCCTCTCGCTCTTATCTCTCCTCCAGACCCGTACGTGAAGGCCTCTCTGATCTGTGACGGGCGAAGGCTAAAGAAGAGGAAGACCTCTATTAAGAAGAACACGCTGAACCCCACGTACAACGAGGCGCTGGTGTTTGACATTCCCAATGAAAATATAGAAAGTGTATCCATCATCATCGCCGTGATGGACTATGACTGGTGAGCAAGCTGAGGTGTTATATTGTAGCACACTCCGGGGGATTTAAGATGAAACTGATCATTACTGTGAAGTGTGCTGCTCATTGAATATGTGTCTGCACACAGCAGAGTGATGTTTGCTGTTGCTTTTGGGTCCTCACATTTTCATGGTGTTGCAGCTGTGTTGAACACGATGAGGGCCCCCTCATGAGTCAGACTCTTGGTGGATGTTCCCTGTTTTACATAGACAAGCACCTCATGAATAAGCACGATTTATGCTAATGGAGACGGAAGAAGCGTAACCCTGCCAGTGTTTGTCTGTCTGACGGTTGCAGCAACACTTGGCTGGTTGATGTGTTTGTGTATAGATGCACCGCCTCCCTATTATGTAGTCTGCCCTCCATTTGGCATCTCCATAGGTGTGTGCTTTTGTATGTTTGTGTTTCGTGCCTGCTTCTCCGCTAACATCAAGCTTTTATGCAGGGCTGTGTATATTTGTGAGCTGCTATTTAATATCCTTCCTCGGCAACTGTACTCTTTTCCTATAGTCAAGGTTGATACATGAGACTCTGTCTGCCTGTTTCTTACAAGCCCTGTCTCCCTCTCTCTCTCTCTCCCTCTCTCTCCCTCTCTCTCTCTCTCTCTCTCTCTCTCTCTCTCTCTCTCTCTCTCGCCCCCTGCTTTATTGTTTCCTTGCTCTCTCCCTTCCTCCATTCACCTCCCTCTCTGCCTTGTTCTTTCTCTCTTTCTCTCTATCTCTCCTGTCCTTGCTTCCATCCTTTGCTGCATGTCAGTATTGGTCATAACGAGGTTATAGGGATGTGTCGTGTGGGCAGCGAAGCTGACGGTCCAGGGAGGGAGCACTGGACGGCCATGCTGGCCAATCCACGCAAACCAATAGAGCACTGGCATCAGCTTGTGGAGGTAATGAGCATAGGATCATGTGTGTGTGTGTGTGTGTGTGTGTGTGTGTGTGTGAGTGTGTGCATTCATGTGTCATCTACATGTGCCACCACATATGTTACGTTCAGTTCTTTGTTGGTTCTGGGCCTGATAATCAAAATTATTTTACATTTGATTATCGTTATTATTAGAAGTAGTGAAAGCAGCAGCAGTAACGTTATAAGAATAGCAGTGGTAGTAGTAGTGATAGAAGTATAGAAGTACTAGTACAGAAACATTAAAGTGTCATATTCACATACAAGTTTTTAAGTATTAGCAAAATACTTTATTTCAAATTAAATGAGCTCAATAAGCTGAATGGGCCATTATATAGAACACATTTTAATTAATTTATATATTTTTGGGGAATTCATCTGTAACAATGAATCATTTTTAAAAAGCTAATTGTTGTGCTTGCCAAACCTTAATCAAAAGAAAAGCAATTACTAACTAAAGCTGCGAGTTATAAATATAATTTTTTCCTTCTGAAATATTGTAGCATAAGTTAGAAATGTCTGATACCTCATATCTGATATTGTAGATATCAAGCTTAGCTTAGCTAACCCATCATTAAACCATAACATTATGTTTTTGTGTGATGATTAAACAAATGAGATATAATGTGTTAATTATATAACCTCAGGAGGTACTGGTAGGTGGATTTTGTCATCTTTTGACTGAGCCAGGCGAGCTGTTTCCCCCTGTTTCCATTCTTTGTGCTAAACTAAGCTAACTCAACCGGCTGCTCGCTCTAGCTTCATATTTACCAAACAGAAATGAGAGAGGTATCAAGCGTTTCATTTGACTGTTGAATAAGCACGTTGGCCAAAGTGTCAAACTCCTTTAGATACAGGACCTGAGTAAATTAACTTACTTGCTTTCACCATTAAATACAGCATTGATTATAGTAGTAGAACATGTAGTGGTGGTACACTGCAAAAGCCCCAAATCTTTTTTTTAAATGTGTCTACTTACTAGTCAAAAACACTTGATAATAAGACACAATCAATTAACAAGTAACATTTCAGTGAGATATAGGGATTTGTTTTCAGAGAATGCATCTTGATTATCTTAAGTGACTTCTTTTGAGCATTACAGGCATATTATGACACTTCCTAATACTAGTGAAATGAAACCAGTTTAAATATTATACCATTTCATCAACCTTTCATTTATTTCAACTCATTGTTTAAAAAGTGTTTCTTTTCATCATGAATAATTAACAATTCTGTATTATATATCTGTATTTCTGAATCTAAATTTGTATTTCCCTGCAGGAAAAAGCAATTGGTACATTCGTGTCTAAGACTGCGACGGCATCCTCCCCTAAGCCGAACATCGTGGTGGACAGTCCTCACTCCGATTAAAACTGTGAGCCTCTCCTTGTGTCGATCGGATATACTGTTTCTTTCTCTTATCTGCATGCTTTCACACGTACTGTGTGACTACTTTTAGGCAACAGTGTATTGGAATTTATATCACTAGTCCACATACAATCCAATTTCTCCTTGATTTCTGCTTGCAAACAGGCCTCACTGTATTGGAATCTTGAAGTACATCCGTATACTGTGCAGCAAATGCTCTCCAGTCAGATTCACAGAGGAAGCCTTTAAAGGCATGACCTGTGTGATAAAGTGGAGGCTGTGGTGCCATCAGAAGCATCTGTATAGTCTTGATGTTATGGGTTATGTAATGCACCCTCCCTCCCTCCACACTTACATTACTGCATAGTGTTTATATATTCTCTCGCCCCCTGCTGTTTCTCTTGCTTAATCTGCCTCTTCTCCCTTATCCTCTTTCCTCAGGTCGTTATCATCTCTCCAGCTCCAGACTTTTCTTTTCTTTCCTCTCATCTGTGAATAATTCTCTCCATCAAAGAAAGAGAGACACGGAGACACTGCTTGTGTCCAACTGCTAGTGCTGTTTTGCTCATGCTAATGAATCCTTCAAGTCCTGCGCAGAACAAACAATATCCATCACAAGCTACACTTTTGAGCATCAGACCACACATTTACAAACACATGCAGATACTAAATGGTACAGTAGGACTGATTTCGTAACTGTAAATTTGGGATCTAGCAAGGGAACAGACACACACAACTTACACACACACACACACATACACAGAGTTTGCAGTATGTGCATAGTTCATGTGTGCTTCAGATTAGTGTAGTATTTCATCTAGGAGGAGCGTGATGTAACAAACTTTTCTCTCTTGAAAAAAAAAGAAAAAGAAAGCCATCCTAGCATGGCCATTTCAACCAGGACCAAAGGTTCATGCCCTTGTACAGACTATAAAAGAAGAAAATCACTATGTCGATATTTTTCTTTGCAATATTGGTGTACAGCATCTGCCGTACTGTATGGGAAAACATCTCACACAGTGCTTAGCAGGACAAACAAATTTGAGGTGGATTCTCCCGGCAATTTTGGACGCCTTCTCCAGGCTCCGCATCCTCTTGTTTCAGACTGAACTCGCTTATTTTCCACAGAGGACAGACGACAAAGCGTCCAGTGGTCTTTATTGATGTCAGAGGAGTCGAAAAATGAGGACAGACTCATCGGTTTAAGCATGTTACGCAACCTTGAAATGTGTTCCTCTTCCTCATGCTTTTTGTCACCATACTCATGGTGCTCATCAGTATACATTTATTTTGTTGTTTTTGTGATACAATACACATACAGTATATCCATCAGCAAAAGAGTTTATTCATGCCATTTTTACAGTCCAGTGAAGATGCGATGGTGTGACTATTTGATCGTCCTCTGCTTTCTGGCCAAACTGACAGACTTTTCCTAATGTAGGACTACACAGGTTGAACAAAACCTGCCTTTAGGATCGGACCAGCATCTGCTTGGAGTGCACTCGCTAGAGGATGTATCCCACAGGGAAGGATAGCACCACTCTGTTTTATTTTTCTATCATTCCAGGACTGTTTTTCTTTTCTTTTCTCAAGAAGTCATCATCCAGCTTCAAGTAAAAAATGATTTATCTTCAAGTCCACATCATGTCCCTGACAAGACTTTAGAAGGACACACATGTCAGTATTGCTTTTGTTAGTGTGTTTCCGTGTTTGTGGGCGTTTGTTTTGTATTTGTGCGTGTCTGTGTGTGTGTATGCCTGTGTGTCACTGTGACCTTGTGTGTGACACGTTTCTGTGCTCACTCCTTCCCTCGTCCTTTTTCTGTCTTTGCCTCCCTCGCTCCCCAAATCCTGGCATCCACGGACACAGAAACGCTTGTCTCGGAGCCAAATGTGTCTACTGTCCCGTGTCTTTATGAAGAGCCATTTTGTGTGTGTGTGTGTGTGAATGTGTGTGTGTGTGTGTGTGTGTACTATACGTGCCTCATTGCACTAGGGTGGGAAACACTGTCTTTCATAGACATTAGTTGGTATTGTCTGTCGTAATCAGAAATCAGCTGCCAATCATTCAACCCTCCTCTCCTCTCTAACCCTTTGCCTGATGTAAGTAACTGTGTTGATCGTGTACTTCTTTCAGTAATTTGTGTACTGTATGTCCGAAGCAAAAAAAAGATGGCACAGTGATTGAAAATTGAATTGTTGGGGTGAGTTTACGTGAAGGAATCATTTGTTGCGGCCTACAGATAATGACAAATTTAGATCCCTCTTAAAGCAAGACAACAAGGAGGAGGTGTTGTGAGAAAATAAGCGCCTGGAATTTCTGCACTTCCTGTGAAAAGCGATACAGACTTATAAAGCCATGTCTGTCACTGCTCCTACGACTACTACTGTAACCTCAGCAAAACAACAGTACAACACCTCACTACAGCTTCTTGTATTGCTATCGTTGCCATTTCTCTCTCATCCTCTCACATGCGCCGTCTGTGCAGGATCGTGTGTGTTTCAGGGTGGGGGATCTAGTTTCGTTCTCTTTCTCACCGGCGTGCTTGATCGGGTATACGGGAGGTGACACATCCCGCATCATACCTGCAAGTATTCTGTGTGCTGCTGGGGGATTATCGACCAGCTTGTATAAGTAGATATGGTATTGATCCATTGGTCTCAAGGCGCCATAATTCTCTCTTTCCCAGTCTTTTTCTCTCTCTCTGCTGGTGTCTACCCTATTTAGTCCTTGTGTTACTGCCTGGTGATAGATTACAAAACTCATAGTGGAACCAGCACATTCCCTTATTCTCTCTCCCCTCCCTCTCTTTCTGTCTAATTACTGTCTGATTACTCATTCTCTCATTTTGTCCTACAGCAATCCCCCCCTCACTCTACCTTCCCCCTCACCTATCCATTTCTCTCTCTACTTTTTTCTATCGCTCCCTCTGCTATCTCACATCCCTCCATCTTGCCCTCTTTCTTTCTGTGTATGACACCCCCCTTCCGTCCTCTCTATTCTCTCTCGCTGTCTTGTCGTGTTAGTGCAGTTCTGAATGGTCATGGGGAAACATGTTTGCATGCTTATATTAACATGAATGATGTCAACTTGATGCAATGAAAAATTATATAAGTGATGCTTTAAGCAAAATCTGACAATGAACTTGATACTAATACTACTAATGACGACTAAATGGAACCCAGCAATTGTTTATCTCTGTGGTCAAAAACAACGATGATGAAAAAACATTGTTTATGCTGTATTTATCTTTCTTGAATTGGTATTCTTTTTGATTTTCAATTGTTTTTTATATATATAATTTATTCAAGAGGTTTACTTTTTTATTGGTTAAGGCTGAGAATTTGAATGAGGGGTTCAGTCAGGGCGATTGTTTCCGTCGGGACAGCTGTGCCAGGTCGCAGGATATCGGTGAATGTGTAAGTAACAGTGTGGCTGAAGCAATGGTCATGGAAATAAATGATATGTATCATCCAGCGTCGTGTTTCTGACTTCTTTTCATCCACTGGGTGGGTAGGCAGGAGAGGTGGTGAAGCTACTGTCACACATCCCAGGCAGTGTGCTATATTTATATTATGAAAGGCCCTGGGCATTTCCGATGTACACAGTCTATATTTGACTCAGGCATGGGAGGTAAGACACTGTACCTGGACAGAAGCACCCTGAACCCAACTTTTTTTTCAACACTAAGCTCTCTGACTTTCTGCTGTGCATTAAGTCGTGTGTAATTATTCAGCCACTTTGTCATGAATTCTTTATTGTGGCCGCATTTTGCCTAAATGCAAAACGCAGCACTGCTGCCTGCCCTGTGTGCTTTGCTCAATCTGGCCTATACCTATTTCTACACTTTTTAAAAACTCATATTTGTCATGTGGCTATTATCTCTTGCTGAAGCAAAGATGCAAACTAATAGTGACCTGCAGCTCCAGCACTTCAGCAGAGGGAGGACGAAGACCGAGCTCAGATGTGCAGGGGAATGACAGAGAAGGAGGAGTAGGAGAGGATTAAACAAATGAAGGAGGATGAAGAGCGAGAGAATGCCAGAGTGGAGGAGGAGGAGGAGGACACAAATGGGAAAACCTGGAGAAGAGAGGGGTATAGCTACATACAGGATGTGTGTGGAAGTGGAGATAGGAGGTGGAGGAGGATAGCTCTGTATATAGACACACTCATCACGGGGCACCGGCAGCATACTGACAGTGTTAACAGTTCAAGAAGAGCAAAACACACACGTGCACATACACACGTGACAACGCACCAGTTAACGCTGTAGACTTTTGAGAGAAAAGTGGAAGGAGGGGCTGGGGGGGGGGGGGGGCTGCTGTCTCCATGGCAACGTTCCCACCGTGCAGAAAAAAATTCATTTAGTCGCAAAGACATTTCACTCAGTTCAGTGAGCTGAAAGAGGCAGAGAGGGAGGGGGAGCAAGTTAGAGACTGGGGGAGGTGTGTGCACTCGAGCTGTTTGTATCACACTGGAGGGATTTATTTAAAGTAAGCTGACAAGGCATTAGCTCTTATTGCTAATATATCTGATTAGATTCCATAGTCATTATGATTTCCCTGCAACGGCTTTGGGTGATACTTTGGTGTTACAATTGTCTTGACATCTGCCCTCTAAATGTACATCTATGTAAGATGTTTTAAATTCACTTCTATGACATTACCTAAACCACCTACACATTGTGAAAACCTTTCGTGACTGAAACTTCAAACTTTTGTTTTCTCATCTTAAAAAGCGCTGCGTAAAGGGAAACCGACCTTTTTATAAGAGCACTTATTATGCCACGTATACAGTTTTTAACATTTTTTTCAAACACTATAAATAATACCCAAAACCTTTCAAAATAATGAATTCAATGAGCGCATGCAAGTGGAAACCTCAACCAGCAGGAGTATTAAAGTAGCGTGCCTCTGCAGGGGAGCAGTGTTTTAATACAGGAGCTGGTCCCCAGGAGCTGACCTTCTCTATACATTGCTTTCATGAATGAACTTAATGAGATTCACCTAACAAACAGAAACTTCTGTGAAACATTCTTTGACATTTAACCTCTGCTGTCATGGCCTCAAATTAGGGATGGAAGTTAAAATCCATATTTGAGGCCCTTTTCATGACTCAAGACTGCTACTGCACAGTGTCGGTGCCAGACTGGATTGAAGAGCCCCAGAGACTGGCAGGGGAGGGTACTATCACACAGCCCAAACACTCTGGGTTCTTCTGGTAACCCATTTGTGTGGATGTCAGTGTATCAGCATGCTGGCTGTGATTACCTGTTGTGGGCAGACCATCTGGCCCTCAGCGTTCCAGCTGGGTACCACGGTCAGGAGACGGATTGTCTTTACCACACCACCTGGACCTCGCAGACATGGAGCAGCCAAGGCAGCGACCATATTTCTCATTCATATTTTATTACGTCGTTCTCTGACCAACAAAAAACAAACAAAATGCAAAAAGAGAAAACATTGTCTGGTTTTCCAAAAGGCACTTCCAAAGAGCAGGCTTTCTGTAATTGCTTGGCAACTGCTGACACTGTGTGTGTTGAAGTTCAAAGCAGCGAGACACACAGTATATTCTTCAGAGCAGCATAAAGCATCAAGGGTGCCTACGCATACACATCAGACACATACAAATATTCACGAACCATTCTGTCAGTTTGATTTTGGCCACGAAGCTCAGTCAGAATAAAAAACCTCTGTGTATGTGGGCATAAAACTTTCCGAAGAGAAACATTTCTTAGGTCCTGTTTACCGACGCCTGGATAAAAAAGCCGCTTGAGCCCACATTTTCTTGCCCTTCCTAGAATTTGGGTTAAAGTGATAGGAGCATTGTTTCTGTTGGAGGTTTTGAGTTTGATGAGGTCTGAAGCCCTTTGCTCAACGCTGTGCTGAGCTGACTAGCTGGCTGTGCCACAGGGGGCGATATACTATTGTTGGACTCACAGAAACAGTGCCGGACTACAACTACAGGTTAGCCGCTGGTGCATAGCGCTGATCTGACAGCAGGTTAGCATGCTGATTGCTGCTGTAGTCATTACACTCTGTTGCTATTTTCTGAGGATTTGGAGGGAATGGGTGCTGAGGAGAAGAGCTTGAATGGAAAAGCTATGATAGGGAACACATGCACACCATCTAAACCTGACAACCAGGTTCAGTGTTTCAAGTAATAAATCAGCAACATTTTAGGTCCATTTAGATATCATTAAGATAATGGTTAGAGGGTACATTTTCTAAGTCCATCAGAACTATTGTTCCTTGAGCTTTTATGTAACTTTACTCAGTCTAAATACTGTATATACATACTATACATACCAAGGCCCTAAGTTACTATCTGTAACTTTGCCTCGCTGATAAAGACCAGACTGTAGGTATTTGCTGACATCTTCTGGAGATCTGGTTCAACAGCACTTAGAAATCACTAGCGTTCTTGCAGAGAGCTCTGTTTCAAACTTTAAAGAAGATAATATTATTATTATAATATTGATACATTTCCTTTTTTTTATGTGAACACATTAAACACATTACAACTGAAATATGTTCCCGGTGATATATCCAGAATGGGCTGATCCTTGAATGGTGCATGTTTCAAATGTCACCTCATTTTCTATGTGCTCACTGTAAGAAGCATGCTGAAGGTCAATAATCAGAGAGGGCTGTGGTTTGGCAGGTCTTTCAGCAGCATCAATTCTGCGCTGTCCACATAATGTCAGGAACGTGTTCTGTGTTTATGATTAAAATCTGTCCTCACCAGACTGAGTATCAGACCAGTACTGGCTGCACATCAAATCAAACATGTTTGTTCTGTAAGACAAACCTGAACATGAGCAAAACTGATGTCTCTGTAAATGTTCTCTGTTTAAGTCAGTGGCTAATTGTGTAGTGCTAGTTCTTTGCCTGTCTGGATATTATAAGTCTTGTGAATATTCTCAGTTTTAAAAAAGGTCAGTCATAAAAAAGGTCCCTGGCTCTGTCTATCTGAAGATGGCCATTAGATTACAATGCAGATGTGATAACAGCTGACCTCTCTGCCAAGCAGAGCACTTTAGAAGAGTGAGGAGACAAGATATCATTCAGAGATGACCTCCTGCATCCAAGCTTCATTTACTCTAAATGTGAGCATCTATTATGTTCCTTTGTTTTGTAGTATACGAGCACTAGCAGCTAGCTCGATATATGTAGCCACGGAAATATAATACATTTAAATTCCCTGGATGCACAAGATAGAAAGCTATACCCATTTAGCTAAAGAATATTAGGCACGGATGCCTAATATTCTGCCTTCACCTACAAAATGTCACTCAAAGAGATAGGCACACCATGTCTTGTGTGTCATAGCATGGATTTACAATGCCTGCTGATAAAGCAGTGAAGGTTTAGGGACAGAATAATTTCAAATCTGCTGCAATGTTATGGACCATCCAGACATCTTGAAGCCTCCTCCAACTCTCATTGTTTGACTACTTTCTGTTTGCCACTGCCTTTATTTAGTGATATTCATTCATACCGTGCACTGTAATATGTCTCTGTTTATTCACTTTGATTAGGTTTTAGCACATTTGTATCTTGTATTTGGCTTAGTCATTTTTAATTATATTTTGTCATAATTTGTTGTTTTGTGTGTCCTTTATATCTTGTGTTTATGTGATGTTTTTATAAAACCTGTTAGAATTGCCTTATTGTGCAAATGAACATACCTTACTTGAAATTGGTGACATGACAAACATAAGCTCGTGAAAAAGATTGTTTTCAATACAACAACAACATTTTTTTTTATTATTATTTATAAAATACATCTAGACTGGTACAGGGACGTTAACTGTGGGAGGCAGCACCCCGCCACAGAACGTTTTGTATGCACAAAAAGAAAAGACGAAGAAGAAAATCGTTACGTCACATTTTGTGGGCGGGTTGTATTTTTTGTCACTTCCGCCAAAAATACAACAAATGGCTCATGTTAGCATCCTGTGTAGTGGGAGCTAATTTCAAACTTGTTTAACGTTATATTTGAGTTTGGCTAAGTGATTTTACGATTCGACTGGCAGCCGCAAACCACCAGGTCAGTCCACACCACTTTCTAGCTAGATGGCGTGCAAGTTAAGGCTTTAGTTAAAATGTCTAGCTTAAATCGCTCACTGACAATTACCTGCCCACCAACGGGCCTGTGTTCATAGAGCGTCTTCTTCATGCAGAAAAGAGCTCACAGAGAGCTCGCGAGCGCTTTGTTTTTAATGTTTCTATGACAACAGTATATTGCTATCACCACTTTCCCAACCGGTGTACGATGGGCTAGCATCGCGTTCGCCTCTTTGCCTTTTACCATCTATATTTGGGCTACTATGCATTTAGTTTCACATTGTTTCACCAAGAGCACCGAACGGAGGATACTTCCTTCATACTCTATAGTGAGCCTGTCATCGCTCGGTCTGACAGCCGTTATGTTGGAGCAAGTAGGACGATGATGAGAGCGCAACTCTCTCCTGCAACGTTCAGTCTCCACCCGGTGTCTAATATATAAAGTTTATTATAGACGGACACAAAACACGCTTCCCCTCCGTTTACTACTGTGAGGTCAACAGCGCTTTTTCTCTCGTTTTTGCAATGGATTTAGTGGGATTAACGTTACAATGTTAGCCACAGTAACGGTAGCTACGTATTACTTTCTCTCGTGGGTTCAGCTAACTTTGATGCAAAAGTCAGAGTTTATTTTAATACAACCTCACCTCTTATAGAAAGGCTTTATTATTGACAGAATGCAACGAAAGGAGCGAGACTTCTGGTCAGTGCTATTAAAAGACACCACAAGGAACAACAAGTTCCACAATAATAAGTGAAATAAATAAATGCAATATAATTGTCCACTAGAATAAATGTATTTCGTGCTCTAGAATAAATGCAATTATTGCAATAGTATAAATGTAATTATTACGCTAGTATAAATGTAATTCTTGCACTAGTATTAATGCCATTATTGCACTGTTATAATGTAATTCTTGCATTACAATGAATGTAATTCTTGCACTAGAATAAATGTAATTCTTGCACTAGAATAAATGTAATTATTGCACACGTGTGAATGTAATTATTGCACTAGTATGAATGTAGTTATTGCACTAATTTAGTTTAGTTTATTAACTGGATCCCCATTAGCTGACGCCTTAGCGGCCTCTAATCTTCCTGAGGTCCACAGAAAGACGTACATACCTACATACATGACGTGAAACAAACAGTTAAAAATAGTACAATCAGAACTCATCACTCATCAGTTACTGCACTAGTATGAACATTGGTGAGCTTGGATGCTTGTAAAGTAGTGCTGCTCATCTCTCCTTGTTGTTGTGTTACTTTGTGTTGGAGTTTAGAACTTACATTCAGGAAATAAACGCAGTCCCTAGTGCTTACGGTTGTAACACAGGTACATTCCCTGCAGTGGAAACACCCTAATAAAAGATGCTCAGCTATACTGTGGAGGTCTCTCATTTAGACTTAGACAAACATGTTCAATCTGTCCTCTCATTGGTTGCAGGTCCGGCACTCATGGAGCCGTCCACTAAGCCTGCGACCAACCAGGTGGCTGATGTGGTATTTGTCATTGAAGGGACGGCAAACCTTGGACCTTACTTTGAATCTCTAAGGAAAAATTATATACTGCCGGCCATTGAGTAAGATCATTAAGACACTCCTCCTTTGCTAAGTTATTCCTTCATTCATGTTGTCATAAATGCATCTGTTTTATTTACTATAGATATTTCAATGGAGGGCCCCCAGCAGAAACAGATTTTGGTGGAGATGTGAGTGTTTCACCCTTCTTTTTTTTTTTTTTTTTTTTTTTTTTTTTAATATTTTATTTATTCTTTGTCAATGGTTTCAGAAGGTAAATCTTAGAAAAGTGTCTGTTAATATTGCTAACATAAATGTTCCTGTGTTTCTTTTGTCTTTCTAGTATGGGGGGACACAGTACGGCCTCGTGGTGTTCAACACAGTAGACTGTGCACCTGAGTCATATGTCCAGTGTCACGCACCGACTAGCTCTGCCTTTGAGTTTGTGTCGTGGATCGACAGCATCCAGTAAGTTATTCAAATCATTTACTGGATTATTACAAAGTTGACACTTTTGGCGGTTTCACATTGCTTTTAACAGATTTAGTAAATCTTCAACATTACCCTGTTTCTCCACACAGGTTCATGGGAGGTGGAGCAGAAAGCTGTAGTCTAATTGCTGAGGGACTCTCTGTGGCCTTGCAGCTCTTTGATGACTTTAAGAAGATGAGAGAGCAAATGTAAGGCGCCCTGTTTGGTTCACACTGCTCACTAATTCCGTAAAACAGTCTACACATTTTCAAAGTACAATCTGTGCCCACCAATGAAAGGATCATTACTAAGCATTGCTCTATTAAAATGTGTTTAACAGTTAATATATTACAGCATGGAAGTCTGTCCTGTTTGGTCATGTAGTGGAATAATCTTCCAGAGTCTGTCTTTCTCTGCATGAGTTTCTTTATTACAAAGAAATAAGCTTGTAGTCTGCAGAGTACAGAACTGATTGATACACACACTACACTGGCTTATACACACACACTAGTGATTCTTCCTTCAGCCCATCCTGTTACCTCCCTTTACTAGGTTCTTCGGGGGTTTCCACTATTGGAATTTCGTTCACAGCTTCTGGTGTTATGTCAATCAAATACAGTTAACCAATGGCCGAACTTCTCCCGCTCTGATGCAAGTTGTGTCAAGGGTAGCACAGGATTACCTTTTCTCCACATGTTTGTTGAGCAATTGTTGACCCAAAGAGGAGTATCGAGGATGGGCTCCACACTCTTTGGAAGTCCCTACACCTTTTTGTCAATATATTATTTTCCTTATATCATAATCAGTGAATGTTGGTATATGTTTTATATGGATGAATAGTGTCAGTCAAAAGTTATGGATCCACTGTCATGCTTGTTGCATATAAACTACTACATAATAAGGGAAAGGGGGTTCTCGAGGATGATATGAACAGGATTAGGTAAAATGTAACAGATATATGAAAACGCAGACAATGTGCTTCTACCTTTTTCTTTCGTATGAGTCCAGTACCACTGTCTAATCTAATGGGGAGTCTTTACAGACATCCCTTACTCAGAGCTTATAACCTTCTTTCCTAAAGGAAATTGGTTGCATGCAGAATAAACATAATAATCTGTGCCATATTTAATAGTAAACTGGATAAGTACATGATGAATATTTCAGATCAAAAGTTGTTTGATCTTATTGTGGGCCCACTTTGAACCCCTGGACAACCTGTATTCCTGAGATTCATGTGTTTACTAAATTCTCCTGGGAGGAGAAGCTGAATCTGGGTAAACCTGAGCTGCAAATCATTCACAGGGCTCCACACGGAGTCATGTTTTACAAAGTAGTAAACTCTGTGTGAGCCATCAAGGTAACGGAACCTTGTTTACAGACAAAATTGTAGTCATTTATTTTGTCTCTCTGTTTGAAACGCATGAAAAAATGCAAGCTCATCCTCCTCTAAGTGGCAAACACCACAGCAGTGTGTTACCTGTAGTTGCTCTGATGATGTTGTTTAAAGGCCATGAAAATATCCTCCAAATCCCAACATTGAATTCAGGTTTTAAATGAAATCCCTCACTAGTAGTGATGAAAATGTTTTTGCTTTCTGTTTCCTACATTTGCCAGAGGTCAAACCCACAAGGTGTGTGTGCTTCTTTGTAACTCTCCTCCATACCTGCTTCCTGCTGTGGAGAGTGTCAGCTACACCGGCTGCACAGCAGACAACTTGGTCAAAATCATCAGAGATGTGAGTCCACTTATATTGTCTCCATCAGGTACTTCGTTGTGTATGACAAACTTAATTTGCGTCAATATTTTTGTGATGAATATTTCTGTGATTGGGGTAGTATCAGTGGTATTTGTATTTGCTTTACTTTATTTGATTAGGTCAAAAGCATAATGGACATTGAATACATTTCATTTTCATATTTCTTAGAGAGGAATTCACTTCTCTGTGGTGGCGCCTCGGAAACTACCTGCTCTACGGTCTTTGTTTGAGCGGGCGTCTCCAGTAGGAGGTGCGGTCGAACCCCATCCAGACTACAGTCAGGACCCCTTCCACATGGTCCTAGTCAGAGGCATCTCGCTTCCTGGTGAGAAACCACATTGAACATGCGTTTGTGTGGGGGCCATCTTTGTTCATCCCAACGAAATGCCCCTGATAAAAGAGCTGGCATTAATGTTGTTTGTCATCTCCGTCCATGCATCTTTTTTTGTCTGTGCTTTTCAGTTTGGCACTAAATTTGCCTTTTTTATTATGCATTTTCTCTGAGGTAGCAGACTTTCCTCCAACCTCCACTCTGGTTTTGATTATTTCATTTTCACCTGTTTCCTGTAATATCATCCCGACTAATATGATTCTAATTTGCTAATTTCATGTGTGTTAACTACAGCAGAAGATGATGTGATTGTTCATGTAAAATCATTCTTTAGTTGGTGGTAGCTTCAGCAGTTGTAATTAAAGACTTGAGCTATTCCTACGGGTTACTCTACACCTTTCTGTGAGCAGGCAGGAATTCCTTGGTAAATTTGTCTTATCCGTCACATTTAGCAAAGCACCATTTTACTCCTACATTGGGAGCGTTCTTAAGTTTACATCTCAGAACTGTGTAAAAAGTCTTAAGCTCATCCCACTGTCTGTCTCCAGTTTCCTCAGGTGGAGGACCTGGGCCGCTCAAACCTGTCCTCCCTCCTCAGCCACTGCCTGTCAATCAGCCTCTTGGTGGAGCTTCACAACCCCCTCCACCCATGAACCCAACCCACCCTTATCAGGTAACGGGCAAGCAGCCACACAGCGTAAGGCGAATTCCTGCCGCCTGCTTTTGGCTCAGTTTCAGACAGTGGTGTTTATGTTCCTCCCCTAAAACTTTTTACCTATCATTGTCTTCCTTTAATCTGCTTGCTGACAGAATACAGCCCCAATGACTGCTGCTCAGGTGGCTGCACAGATGGCTGTGGAGGCAGCCAACAACCAGAAGAGTCGCTGTGAGTTACCAGTGGACTCTGGGCCTTTTGTGAACAATTCATGTTTGCCAAGCTTTTAGTTGTGGTGTTTCTGTCTGCATACTGTATGTGTGACTGTGTCTGCATTTTTTGTTCCTGCTGCCTCCTCTAGTCCCGGGAATGGTCAACCAGGGTCCTCCGTTTACCAGTCAGCCACCCATCCCATCAGTCGCTGGAGTGAAGCTCAATCAGCCCAGCATTGCAACAGTCACTACATCAACACAGCCCATGATGCCACAGCAACAAGTTCCTCCCAATCAGCCAGTCCCCCCGCCAGTACAGCCAGTACCAAATCAGCAGCCGCAGATACCACCTCAGCAGCAACCCACTGTGAATCAGCCCACAGTGCCTTCAGCACAGCCCAACATGGTAAGTTATACCCATACCATCAGTTTTGTTGTTGGTTTTTATGGATGTTTTCCGCTACAGGATCTTAAAAACCCGTAACCATGGACAGAGCCAGGCTAGCTGTTTCACCCTGCTGGCTGTAGCTTCATATTTAATAGAAACATATGAAGGTGGTATTCATCTTTTAATTTAACACTAGTCCAACTTATCCTTTTTAAAAATGCAGGACGTATTCTGAAAAATGCATGCATTGCTGCCTTATTTAGTTGTCTGTGTAAATTTAAGACGCACCCTTTTAGTGATGTTTATCCATTCTGTTTGTAAAACACAGTGAAAACACAATGGATTCAGGTCAGGCGAAGCCCCACATTACGTGGAAAAGAGCTATTGGAGAACTGTGGCATCTCTTTACTGCATGCTGACATTTTAACAATAATACTAATTGTCTTAAGGGGGTCTTATAGTTACAGTTTAAAATCCCAACCAAGGTTTTGATGCATCTCTTGCACTGTAAATTAAAATTAGATTATGCACATATTCAGCTTGTCTTGCTCTAAATATTTTACTCCAGCTTCATCAAATGACACCGTGTTGAAAGTTCTAAATAATTGTTTGCTTTTGTCAGTGTAAAAGGGGTGTGCTGAGTCTGGAGAACAGGGTCAGATAAAGTTAAAAAACTAAAATATAAACAGAGTAGATAACAACGTAATGTACTGTCTGAACTGTGACAAGTCAAATTGATAGACCACATGAAATACAAAACAAAAGTGAAGCCTCCACCTAATGAAAAAGTTAAATATATTAACTATATAAGTAAAAACATATTGTGAATTATCTTTTTTATTGAGTTATTGGAAATGTTTGAATCACACACGTCAGAAACAATCCTGTGCAATCACAACGAGGATCTAGTTCTACAAATAGGGTAATACTAATAATATTAGTTTATCCTAATCTTTATCTGCAGCTGTGCAGAAATACTGGCTTTAAACAGAATTAATAGAAATGCGAAAAAAAATCATTTTCTAAATGTTGATTTAGATTTTGTATGTCAACATTCTGAATGAAGCTTCAAACTACTCAGGACAGCCCTGCTGGCCACTGATTGGAGACTGGAGCCTTGAATGTGAAATGTTTGCTGTGAACCTTGTATTGAACTGTATTTCATAATGTTTGTTGCGAGTGAATCATAGCCAACATTCTGTAAGTGACTCAAAGCTCTCAGTTGAAGACTTGATTTGGTATTCTCAACCCCTTGTAAACACTATCAATGTTTAAATCGTATTAATATTTTCAAATGTAAGTGGCCCTGCTCATGTTAGATATCAGAGACGTAAGTCTGTGATGCTGTACTGCCAGCAGCCTAGAGCTGAGTTTGCAGACTAACACTCATTTTGATATTTTGACTAATATCAAAATGAATTTTAAATGTTAGTACTTCTATCAGATCAAAACCAGAAGATGTTCCTTTTTTCCCTAGAAAATCATGTTGGGTACAGTCAGTATTGTTTTTTTCTTCTCTGTTTTCCAATTCATTCAATCATTTTTCTCATGTTGATGCAAAATAAACTGTCTAAAATTTGCAAAATCTATTATTTAATGATGTCCCACATGAATCCGGTGTAAAGGATGACATGCTTAGTATTAAGCACTTCATGAAAGTCATCTGTTTAGTCTACAGTCGGTGTCTTCGTTTCATTTAAATTGACAAGAACACCTGTAATTCTAACTGGTAAAGGGATCAAACTGTACTGGTACACTACATGTAACCCCCCCCCCCCCCTTCTGTTCTGTTGACAGCCTGGTGTGTCTGGAGCTCCAGGCAATGCAAATTCAATTGGACAGCAGCAAGGTGTGGCCAATAAGATTGTAGCATGGACCGGTGTCCTGGAGTGGCAAGAGGTAATACCTTGTGAAAAGGTCTGATTTAGAATGCCCTGAAAATAAATCTGTGAAATAAAGCACTTCAGTCACTTATAGTACGGACAACTGAACATGAAATGGTTAGTAGGGATGAAACTCAAACTTTAGTTTAAATGGACAGAAGTCAGTTAAAGGAATAGTTCAACATTTCACAAACTGTGTTTATTTGCCGTCTTAGAGAAAGATTGATGCCGCTGTCATGTCTGTACTGTAACTACGAAGCTGCAGCCGGTTAGTTCAGGTTAGCGTGCACACTGGAAACACAACAGAATCTGCCTACCAGCACCTCTAAAGCTCACACATTTTACAAACATGTTTTATCTCTTTTTGTTTAATGTACAAAATTAACATTTTTGTACGCTTTAGAAGAAATGTTTTGTGTTTTGTTTTTTCTTATTTTAAGTTGTAAGTTGTGGCTTTATGGGGGATCATGTGCAGGAGTTTTTTTCTTGGCCAGGCGCAGTAACTTTCCAGAGTCTTAGCTGGTTGCCTGGCCAGCTCACTGTGACATCACGAGATACAATGTTTTAATTAGTGAGCTTGTAAGAGGTCCTGGTAGGTGGATTTTATTACCTTTCAACACAGCCGGGCTAGCTGTTTCAATTTTTTTCAAGCTAACAGGCTGCTGGCTCCCTTTTTTATATTTATCTAACAGATATGAGAGTGCTATTGATTTCATAGTTAAACTCTGAGTAAGAAAAGAATCCGTGAACTATTGATTTAGTTAACTTTGTTATCTTTGTGGGCTGATATCCCAGCTGTGAGGACTGGAGTTGGGAGTCATTGCCTTGCCAACATGCTGTGAGCATCACCACTGTCTAGGACCTAGCACTGTTGTGGGTCTTAATAATAACCGCTCATTGATTATCGTACAGTATGATTAATTGCACATTATTTTACCGCCTCACTACTAGTGCTTTAGCTGAAGTTCAAATCAATGTTTGCAGTTGCTGAGGCAGGAAAATGGATGCTAATGGCTTTCATGCGACACTCACGAGGCCTTCGAATGTTTGCGTTTGTGGACAGACTCGGATCAGTCGCCTCTATCGACTATAGTCTCATTCTCCCTGTTGTGTTTGTCAAAATTATCTGTCAGTTAAACGGACAGGAAGGAGAGTGGGAAGCTCAGGAAACTCTAAATCTAGCCTCTGAGCACGTACAGACACACGCAACCCGAGTGTGCAGATGAGCAGCACGACGCATTGCTCTTAATCTGCTACTTCCTCCTCCAGTTCACTCGTTAGGCTTTCAGCTCTGTAAGTGATTCTGCTGTGGAGTAATCTGTAATGTTGAGGAGAATTTCATTGCAGACACTAAAACTCGTTTGAAGAAATGGCTGTTGATGAAAACTCTCACAGGGGATGCCAGCACACTTGGCTGGAGCTTGCTCCGAGTACAGAGTTATCAATATGATTCTCCCGGTTTGGCTGAATTTCAATCTGTTAATTCCCGCAAGCTTTATTAGTTTAAAATGTGGGGTAAGTTTCCCAAATGGTTCTGCTCACATTATTTCTTTAATCTGCCACTAATTTAGGTAGATGCGTTTTGAAGATGATTGTTTTGTTACTGTTCACATTTCAGTCTCCTGTTCACTCCAGCTTTAGCGAGCCCTGAAATAGATAACCCATTAGTCTGCAGAGGAAACTCAGCACAATACATTAGCAATGTACAGCACAGGGACTACAGTAGGCCTGACTAATATGTGATTGATTGATCATTGATGCTCTGGAGATGAAGCGTGCTGGCAGTTTTCCCAGTGGGATTGCAGCATTAATGCACTTAGAAAGTATTTCTTTATGTCTTTCCTTCCTGACGTTTTACTAAGGAACAGGTTATCTGCAGATCTTTAAAAGACCATCCATCCGTCCATTTTTTTTAATTGCTTGTCCTGATTGGGGTCACAGTGGCAAAAGGGTGAGCTGGGCAGCGCACCACATGTTCTTTTCCTCAACAATATTCTCCAACTTCTCCAAGGTCCTCTGGAAGATGTAATCCCCCAGCATGTCTTGGGTCTTCCCTCGTGTCCCCAGCAGTTGTTCATTTCCAAAGCATCACCAAAAAGAGACAGAAAGGAGGCAATCCGTAGCTCACCACAAGTGTAATCAATGGGTCACAACAGCAACTTATGCTCGTTTAAATGTGTTAAAAGTACCTGCAGTAATGTGTTTCCTTAGCCACTGAGAGGGGCCCCATACTGCCACCTGTAGACCAGCAGTATAGTGTGACACCACTGGCAGAACCTTTTAAAGCAGAACAAACTCAGTGTTTTTAAAAAAATGAAACACAATCAGGATTTATGCTTAATTTTCAATTATTTTATTGTGTTGGCTCTGACAGCTTTTACATTTTTTTTTTTTTAAACTCTTGTTTGGTCTAAGGGCAGTATTTAAAAGATTACTCAACAGTTATCATGTGGGATTTTAAGTTGTGTGCATTGTGCTCCTCCAGGTGTTCTTCAGGCTCACGGTCTAACTTTCCTCTTCTTTTTGTGTCCCACCTCACTGCCCCCCCCTTTCCTGCAGAAGCCTAAAGCCTCTTCCATGGATTCAACCACCAAACTAACACGTTCTCTGCCATGTCAAGTGCATGTTAACCAAGGGGAGAATCTGTGAGTAGCCAATCAAACCCTATGGACGTTATCTAAAGGGGGATTGTTTTGTGCACACAGTTCACCGCTGCCATTTTCTCTCTAAACAGAAACACAGACCAGTGGCCACAGAAGCTCATCATGCAACTGATTCCACAGCAACTACTGGTGAGACCATTTTTTTTTTAGTTTTGTGAAAGTGTCGTTTATAAATGATGCGTAACTAAGTCCTGTCTTTGTAGACCACCTTAGGTCACCTCTTCAGGAACTCTCGAATGGTTCAGTTTCTCTTCACCAACAAAGACGTGGAGTCGCTGAAAGGCTTGTACCGCATTATGGCCAATGGCTTCGTGAGTTTTCAAGCACTCTATTTCCTGAGATTAAAATGATGTGTGTTCCCTCCATGTCCCCGATCGTATCCATCATTCAGTGTACCGCAATACATTTTCCATGAAGTGGCAGCTGAGTGCAGGTCCCACCTCTGTCCAGTAGTTGGCCTGAAACATGAAGCTGTGTTGCAGTGTTGTGTTAAAGACTGTAGAGGGGGTTCCAGGCCATGCATTTAGTCACTTTCAAGCCAGATTGTATGATTTTAAACATGCTCTGCCATCAATTCAGTCAAAAACCTTTGAGTTGTTTAGATTCTGTTCCAGAAAGCCAGCATAACGACAGAGGTTTTGTCAGTGTGGTGCGTTGTTGGTGAAGTAATACCACTGAGGGATAGCAGAGGCATTAATAGTATTCAGTCCAGCTGAGCTCTGCCTCTTTGCCTGAATGTGATTTACCGCCCAGTGAATCCACAGTATGAGTTAAGTTAATACCATTTGCATTCAATTTATAAGACTGATATGTTTGATTGGGCAAAGGAGCTCAGGAGTATGTTATGTCCACAAGCCTGAGCACATCCCATAATTCTGACCCATGTCACGGTCTTAATCTGCCCTTTGACCCTCCCTGCAGGCCGGCTGCGTTCACTTCCCTCACACTACGTCGCCCTGTGAAGTGCGGGTGCTGATGCTGCTCTACTCGTCCAAGAAGAGAATATTCATGGGCCTCATCCCCAACGACCAGAGCGGCTTCGTCAACGGCATCCGGCAAGTCATCACCAACCACAAGCAGGTCCAGCAGCACAGAGCGGTGAGTGGTGATATCCAGGAGGAGGCGGTGGTGGGGCTGGTGGGAAAGAGAGGAAGGCTTCAGTGGGGAGGCCAAAGGGAGGTGATAACGAGGAGGCATTATTGAGGAGCACCGGGGAATTGAGGTGCATTGTTTACGGCGTTAAGGTGCATCGTTATTGACATTTCATTTAGCGCTTCCACTATCTTCACAGCAGCGTCTCTCACTCTAGCCAAGGCTAATGGGGCTAGCATTAGCTAAATTTCTGTTGCTCTCTCACCTCATTGCCTCTGCTTAAGTGAGGGTAATGTAGGCGCAATACATACAGCATGCATTCTTTATTTTGAATTGGTTCAAATAGAATTGTCTCTTTAACACTGTGCAGTGTTTGTTGTGTAGGTTATTGTTTATGCACTGTGTGAACATGCATTTTGAGCAACAGTGGCAGTGTAATATTATCCCAGCAGTTTAAGAATACCTTCATGTGATGTCGTCAGTTGATGACTTCATAAAAACTGAATATACGCTCACTGGTTGCTCCGTCCTCTGTTGTAGTTTGTCGATGTAGAACGATGTAGATTCGGCTTTAAACAAAGCACAACTGGGGTAGATGTAATGTTTTTTTAACTTTAGGCAGCCCAGATGTTAACATGAAATGAGATGCGCTAGGAGAGGCGATGGAGTGTGTGTGTGTTAGTCTTTAGGGACAGGATAAGGAAAGGAGACAAGGCCCCTCATCCCAGCCTCGCTGCTAAAGGTAGACCACTTCTTGTCTCTGAGTTCATTACAGGTTACAAATGTTGCTGCCTTGTCCACATGACGTGGAGATATTCCCTTTCCCTCTCTGCTCATCCTCATCCCAGCAGACAGGGTGATTTAAAATGTGTCCTCTGGATTAGCTGTCTTTTCTATCACAGGGCTCCACTCCAGCTTATTGCATCCAGTGAGGAGGGATGAAACAATGCAGCATCCAGTCACAGAGAAGCAGCAAGTCTCCATTTAAAAATGAAGCTGGCCGTCTTGGTTTACATGAGTTAGATTACATTTTGTCCTCGCAGTCTGCTCTCATCAACGGTGATGGCGCTTGTTTACTCACCCTACTAATTTTATGTCTTCGTTTAAGCTCTTCAGCCTTATATGTTACTTGAAGCCGTGTGTGCCTGAGCATCAGGGCATTTAGAGGAGGCAGAAGACATGAAATTGTAATGAATATGTTTTTCATCACATATTCAGTGCTGCATTGCTAATAGGGAGTGGCTACAGCAATCTTAATGTAATTAAAATTTCCAGTTGGACCGGTAGCGCAGGTTTCTCTGTGCAAAGCGCTGGAGTGGCATTCTTCAGTTTGTTCTGTTTACAGCAAGATAACATTTTATATTTCTCCCTGAAATGTGATCCAGGATTTTACAGGTTACTGGGTTAAAGACAGAAGATATATCATACACGGGAGAAGAGAGAAGGAGTTTAGCTTTGTTAGTTCCTTCAAAAGACCTAAAGCTGTTATTGTTGGTCGGATAACACACCGTGCATTAGCTAAATCCCAGGGTGATTTGTTCGGATTCAGTAAGATGGATGGGTGGAGGTGTTTTTCTATTGCGGCTTTTTTTTCCCCTGGCTCTGTAGTTAATAATTAGTGCTTGAAGGAGGGATGACACGCCCCTCAGTCTTCCTCGTCTCTCCCTAAGTGTAGAAACACACACACCACCACAGCACCTGCATAGCGCAGCTAAGTGCTGCCTGTTTCAAATGTTGCCTTTCTAAGCAGTTATCAATCTCCATATTGCAATTTAAGCACAGAATTGAGCAAATTAAATATGCAATGGGCTCACTTATATCTTTAGAGTGTTAGGAGATATCCCTAAATGATCAGGGCCTGCCCCTGGCAGGTGTGTTTGCAGAATCTGTTGGTGGGTAAAGCAACAGGTTGCTTCCTATCTCCTTCCTCTGCGTTCAACTCAGGATGGATATTGTATACGACTGCTTTTACACTCCAGACTTTGTTGACTGCTTGAGTCATCAAGCTTTAGTTTGTTTTAAACTGTGAAATCGGAAGCAGCAAACACCTCACCAGGTGGTGCTTGAAGTTTAAGTCTCCACCAGTGTATCATGGTATATTTTTATTTTTTTATTTTTTCCTTCGTCTGCACGCTGAGCAAAGTGACTGTTTTTGTTTTCAGCCAAACAAGGTTGTTAAACAATCATTACATGTGTAAACCGTGTTGCCTAAAAATACAGATCAGGGATTATGACAATACAAGACTATATATATATATATATATATATATATACACACACAAAAAAGAAAAAACAGATTTTGTCCCCAGTCACTCACACTGAAATAGCTTTAAGAAGGAATGTCTTTGGGACCAGTATGAGAAAGAACAGTTCCAGTGATTAGTAAAGCTGTTAATGTACTTACGGGCTTGTGAGCATTTATGTATTTAATTCTTAATCTAAACAGTGTCATTGAGATCAAAATCTCTTTTTCGAGCAAACATGCACAGTAAGAGCAACAATTTACACAGAAATAGCTTGTTAGTAGATGTATGAATTGATTACAGTGACCTTGATGCTCTCCACTACTTTCACTGTTGTGGTGCATAAAAACCAAAGCGTTCAGCCTCAGTCACCTTCAGTCCTTAAGCTCAACAACCGAAACAAGTATTTGTACTGCTGGGCAACTTTAAGGCGTTAACGAGTAAAGAGGTGAAGCAGAGGAGAGAGTGAAGCGTGTGCATGCCGAGTCAATAAATAAAGGTGATGAAATGTTCCGCATGGTACCTTTTGGAAAAATCAACTTTCTGCGGTTTCACTTTCTGTCCGTTTCTACGCAGCAGTTGGGTGGTGTGGGGCCGATGCAGCCTGTTCAGGTCGCCCCCAATCAGAACTTCCTCAACAGGCCCCCTGGGCCCATTCCTGTCTCACATGGCAGCGTCCAGCAGCAGGTAAATGAACCCACTCAATGCCGGCATGTCTGCCTGGGTTTCCCTCTCACGCTGCCTGGTGACACCTTTACTGCCCTCTCTGATCTCTGCATGCCTTTCTGGTAACCCTCTCCTCCACTATCCTTTTTTTTCACACTTCCACCACTCTCCCCCTCCTCCTCCCTCTCTCTGATCTGTCCTGTGTCCAGTCTGTGGTGGTGGGCATGCCCCCTGTTAGTCAGGTCTCTATGATGGAGGAGCAGCAGAGGCAGAACAATATGGTGAGACCTTCGGTAGCCTCTAAACATACAAGCAACATGTGCTCAAAGTGTCCACGGGTACTGAATTTAAATTTGAAGGGCTTTAAAGTATTCTATCATCATTCAGTTATAGGTATCCAAATGACAAGTTTCATTGAACCACATAGATTAGCACACACTGGATTTATCAGTACAATGCACATTTTACAACACAATTACCTTTATCTGCCCTTGTTTTTATTATAGTGTCAGAAATAACCATGAATGAAGAGTAGGCTGCTTTTCTGTTTATTTTGAATTATGTTAAACTCAATTTATGTCTTTGTGGACATCCTGTGTCTTCATCGGAATCCTTTTTTTTTTTTTTTTTTTTTTTTTTTTTTTTTTTTTCCCACTACAAAAACACATACACACTGTTACTTCATCCCCCTGCTCAGCATCAGGACATTTAATTTCCTATCAGCATGTGTTGACTGTTCTCTCTTGTAGCATATTTCATTGAGAACATGCATGCATGCACACATTTGTATGTTTGAGGTGACGAGCTCAAAACTAACCGCACGGGTAGACCTGTTCCAAACATGATGGTTTACTTCCACCTTCTATAACTATAAGTATGTCATAACTGGTTTTCTTATATGACAAGAATGTAATGTACGACATCTTAAACTGTCCTTTAGATGACGATGAGAGCAGCCGGACCAGCCAATCAACAGCCGTCGGTCGGCGGAGCTCCACCCAACCAGGTCGCACAAAGCGGACAAGCCCAGCCCCAGGGTCCCATACTCCGCCTCTCAAACCCAGGAGCCAATCCACAGCTTCGCAGTCTTCTCCTCAGTCAACAGCAGCCAGTAAGAGTGCAGCAAATGACTGAGTGAATTTGCCTGTAGTCAATGTCTCATGTAGTAACTGCTCTTCTGGAAGTCTGAGATTTTGTCGAGGTTAACTTGTCTCCTCTGTCTCTTGTGTCCTTGCAGCAGGGTGGGGTGTCTCACATGTCAGGCATGATGTCTCACCAGGGTTTAGGGCAGCAGTTGGTCCATCCGGCACCAGGAGTGGGGCCACAAATGCAGAGCCAGTGGAGGCAGCCCTTAGGTCAGCAAGCACCCCCCACAATGGTGGAAAGAGTTCAGAAACATATGAGCCAATTGGACATTTTAGGGTATAGGTCTAAAAAAAATGTACTTTTTGAAGGGTGATCGGGTTGATATCCAAAAGTATTTAAAAGCAACTTCGAAAAGTTAAATGTAGAAATGAGTTATTCTAGTTCTTTGTATCCCATTTACTACACTTCATGCCAATGTTACATTACTACAGACTGCATACATTTCATTATTATAGTATTTTTATCCGATTTCACATGCAGCCATCTGTGTCTAATAAAAATCAACTTGCAGGCTAGCTTGAGTTAGATATTTCATCCAAGTGTGCACGCTGCCCAAGCTCTAATTGTCAAACTTACTTAATTATTGTACACATTGATTTAAACGGTTTGGAGAACTTCTGGTGCATTTATATATTGATTTGATGCTCTAACTCTGAAGATAGCCATTGCTAAAAGATAAGTATCCCTTTGCACTGAAGATGAGTTACAGCCGGTGAGAGTGCACATTGGGTTTCCCAGGCCCGTTATCAGTCATGGGTTGGCCCTTCGTATTTTGACAGGTGACTTGCACCGCATTTCCTCAAAAAACAATTCAAAATACATTTATGCATGATGTAAACCTTTAAAATCCCTAAACGGTACACCACAGTAAAGACCTCGATGTTTACCTATGTCAATCAAATCTCAGGTGCCTCGAAATTGAAATTCCTAGCAAGTGATTGAAAACAGAAGTGATTGAAAACAGATGGCAGCATGGGAGAAAAAAACATGCTTGAAAAAGTATGTGGTATCATTTGTAAAACGGTGTGTAGTAATGTAGATAATTATCCAGATGTTGGAGGCAAAACATGACTTTAAACTCCGATTGTCATTCAAACAAAAAATAATTCATTGTACTTATTATGTTTAATTAATGGGATAACTCGCCCTGTTACCTTGAATTCTACAAGGAAACTTACCTCCACTGTGAATTGAATTGAATGAATTAAAGTAAATGGGGTTGGCGCTTAACAACAGCAAAACTATATCAAAACATACATTTACAAACTCGACACATAACAATCACAACTCGTGCTTTTATGATCCAAGTCTCATTTATCCAGTCATATGCCCGATACTAACACGGCCCCCATTTAACTTACTCCGCTTTTTGATTCTCCGTTCACCGTGGAGGTATGTGAGAAAAACAAGTTTTCTTCAAGATTTCAAGGCAGCACGGGGGGAGTGATTGATATACAAACTGTCATTTCTTGGGCAAAGTATTCCTTTTAAGGATAACACTTAGTACTCAATACTGTAAAGTATTCCCAATAGAAAGTATCAATTCTGAAATAATACAGAGGATCCCTAACTTAAATCTCTGTCCTCTCTCCACTCTCCTCCCAAACGTCCCAAACCTGTTTGCAGGTCAGATGCTGATGTCTGGAGGTCAGCGAGGCGTGGTACCACAGCCAGGGATGACTCAGGTCTCCAGCGTCATGGAGGATGAAATCCTCATGGACCTTATCTGATCCTGCTTTGTGGCGTCAGGAACTGGATTTTTAGTTGTATCGCAGCAGCCATTTGCCAGTCTGGACACATGCATCCGCTCTGTTGCTTCATTGCTACAAATGGTCAACATAATTAAGGAACAAATCATGATTTTTTTTTTATTTTTTTTTTATTTTTTTGGGGGGGGGGGGGATTTTTTTTTGGATTTTTTTACGGGACTGAGCCGCTGAAGTTAAGTAGGGGCAGACAATGCGAGCATTCGTTTTTTCATGTAAGTGGTCAAACCGACGGCACGCTAATCCTCCATGCTACTCACTGGATGAAGTCAAACCAGTGAAAACAGCAGATTATCTTATGATTCTGGAAACTCTGCTTTTCTATATGTTTTTTTGTTTCGAATTTTATCACTGAAATCAGAAATATTGTAATTTTTTCCTTTTTTAATTGAGATTTTACCTTTTCTGTTGTTTCTTGTTTTATTATTGATGAAGTTGTTTTATGAGGACACAATAAAATGATGGACTGTACATCATTGAAGAAGTCGTCTTCATTTTGAAGAGGTATTTTCTGTCGATGCATGCACTTGAGCTTGTGATGTCCAGCCAGAGTCTCCACAGTCCCGCCTCCCCCCTGTGTGAATGTAAGGGGGGGGGGGAGGGAGAGAGAGAAACTGAAATAGACACAGTAATAGATAGTTCAGGGTATTTTTCTGCCAAATAGTGTCTGTGTTAATTTTAACTACTCCAATATGTTGTGGAACCACAGAGAGTCCCCTCGTGCCAAGTAGTCCTACCAGATGGCATCAGTTGGCCATGTTTCCTTTGGCATAACGTACAATCAGGCTGCCCGCATGCGCACATGGCACAGACTCCACATACATGCCCACAGTCTGCTTTCGCGTGCACACACCAATGCATGCAAGTTAAATCCTGCACACCATCAAACACTATCCTGTCCTGTATCAGATGGTGACTGGTGTGTGCAGGAGCCGAAGCTGCCGAGCCGCTCGTACACGGGGAAGAGAAACACGTGAACTTTGCTCAGCCTCACACATGCGTTCATGACACTGGCATTGGCTGTCGTTTTTTTTTTTTTTTTTTAAACACTTGGACACTGTGTACACACAGATACACACTCACCAACAGGAAGTGATGTCAGTCCCTGTCACCTGGGAGACAGAGACGGTTGCTAAGATACTGTGACAGTGGGTTCTTGTTTCTGAGCTTTTCCTCAGCCCCGCTTTCACATGGACTCACACAGATAGACACTAGTTCCTCAGTGGCTGGTGTTCATCCCTCCCATCCCTTAATCACTGGCCGGCCCTCGGAGCCCCGGCTTAGCTTCACTTTATCTTCCTCTCTCTCTCGCTCTCTCTCTCCATCTCCATCTATCTGCCTCCATCTCACCATCGAGCTATTAGCGCCTGTCTGAGCTCATAAGTTTTTCAGTATCTCTTTTATTAACAGCGAAAAATGTTCACAGGTCCATGTGAACTGTAGTGGTAAATAAAACGGTGACTAAACTGACTTACAGTCATGTTGGGCGTTTGACAAACATTCCCCATAAAATAAAATAAAACAAAATAAAACTTAACGAATGACATCATAAAAATAGCAATATTTTGAATGTTTTACACTTTAAATCTTCCTAGATTCATATAAACTACATTCATTTGATGTTTTTTATATGACGCTCTTCAAGGAAAACTCTGGCTCCAGTTGGGTCCACTACATTTCCTCACCATGGTTCATGGTGTTAGTGTGACATGGTGGTACTGAAGTTGTGTGTGGTGTTTCCATATTTTATTCATTCATTGAAATAATGAGTTTGATATAACATTACAAGTAAAGAAATACAGTAGAGGACTTCATGTGTGGCTTAAATGTCAACCTCTGACACCACCACCGATTTCTGTGGAGACACCGCACCACATGGACCATAAAGAAAGATAACTTAAAGATGTTGCCTCATTTGAAATAATGTATGAGCCATGAAATTAACGAGGATTATGAGATTGAAATTATGAGAGTTTCCCTCTATTTGGCTAGTCAGGATTTGGGTCACCGTGGCTGTTAGCTGCTTAGGCAATGTAGCCCGTGTCCTTCTCCCTAGCCATGTCCTCTATCTTCTACTGGGGGATCCAGAGGGGTCCCAGGTGGGTATGGTAAATGGTAAATGGACTTTTACTTGTATAGCACACTCAAATGACTTTTACACTACATGTCATTCACCCATTCACACCCATTCAGTCCCTGATGTCAGGGGCTACCATGCAAAATGCAGATAGACAGACCTGGCAAACCAAAATGCGTAGAATGGGGGGTCCCAGTTCTGGACGTCCACGCCGGTTGTTTTCAGAGGGATTGTTCCGTCATTCTTGGGGAGGCTGGGGAAATTGAAACTGAGTGAGCAATGTTCAAAGCCTCGATTGTGGAGGCAGCTGTCTACATGTGCTTTGTGGACTTGTAGATCGTGTCCCCTGGGGTGTCATGTGGGGGTTGCTTTGGGAATATGGGGATGCAGGGCTGTTATGAGCCATCAAAGCCATCTGGGTCTTATACAACTGGAGAGAGAGCCAGAGCATGTTCTCTGATTAAGACTTCCCTCACAAATATCAGTCCTTTATTTAAAATTATTGTTAAAATTCTGGTGTCGTAAAAGAGCATCAGTGTAATGTTAAGAGGGAAAAAGCTGTTGAGCTCCAAGTGTTGCTTCTTCTGGGAGAACTTGTTTGACTGCAGTGAAATATTCCATATGATGACCAATTTTACTTCCAAGTCTGACCAAAATGCAATGCTGCAATACTCCCTCTGTTGCTGTATCCATTTTTGTAATCAACAATTTCTCCTCATAAACCGGTACCCCATAATGCAACATATGCAGACAGGCCTCTTGTGGAAAATATTCACTTCTATAAAGCCCAGTATTCCAAGTGTACTGTAATTCCAACCACTGGACAAATGGCTAATTGAAGTATCCAGGCAACAAAAGTGATTTGATTTGTGGTGTTGATATACTCAACTGTTCAACAAAGCAACCTACAACCGACATGATGACCTACTAATAATTGGATTCAATTGTTAACACTGGAACTAAGGCTACTAAGGCTGGTGTAAACAGGAAGTAGATTGGTTGCTTAGTTGCAGAAAATATGACTACAGAAAAATTATACAGAATATTTAATGATAAAAGATCGGGCTTGAAGCTTAAGATCTTCCTCTATAATTTTCCTCTATATTCTCATGGAACTTTCATGGAAAAAAAAATGTTTTATTTTTTAAACTTAGTTACAAAGCTGCAGGTCTTGCGCTATCTCTCTCTCACACACACACATCAAATTTACTTTACAAATGAACACTTACAAATCAAAGTTTTACTAGATTATGGGTGAATAATCTCTCACTCATTTCCTCAGTTTCGTTGTTGCCTTTTCTCACACTCGGTGCTCTGCCGGGTGGCTGGAAGTGCTGTCGCACTGGAGAGCATGTCTGCTTTTGTTCGTTTAAAGTTTCTTTGTGAACTTTACAATAGTTGTGCAGAACAAAATAGGCATTAATGAGAAAAGGAAAGTCTTCCATTCTGTGTATATCGCTATCTTCAAAGCCGCAAACCGTGACTTCAAGCGTTCACTTTGTAGGGCTCATAATGCCGTTAGACACGCCGCTCGTTAATTGTTCCAATAACAGCTTGCTGCTTAGAAATTGACAAAAGGTCTTCAAAGTTGCAGGTGTGAGTGAAGGGGTGCTTCAGTTTATCTGACAGCGCTGTAGAGATAGGCCTACTCAATATGAGTATGGAACTTTCCTTTAATATGGCTCATATAGATATATGACATTTGCTTTAAAAATGTGATTAAACACTTTAAGTGCACTTAACCTTGCCCATTACATCCATGACCATATCCTTACACATGACCAACGTCTGAGCTGTTTGACTGCTCTTTAATGCCATTTTCTTAGGGTCAGAGCAACAGTGGCCTAAAATTAAAACACTCCTGCTACGTGTTGGTCATGTGGCATTTTGGTTGTTTGCCCTCCCTGTTGTCTCCACGAGGAAAGAGGCAGTGGTCCAGTATGAGGGCCAGTCAGGGGAGGCTATGGGCTAGAGATGATGATTATACAGCCCGGTGGCAGAAGTGCTGCTCAGCATAATGGGGTTACTAAGCCTGGGGGCAGAGTTTGTTTTACGCCTTGCCAGAGGAGGTGTTAACAGGAGCGAGCGATGGAGGAGCAGGAGAGACAGTCTTATTATTAAGCCTCACCTCACAGAGAGTGAATGTGTTGTGATGGTCGTGGAGATGAGTGTAGCCTGCACACGGAAAGATTAAGAAGAGGGTGCGGGTCAGAGGAGCATATAACACCTAAAATTGGATTTGTCTTCAGGGGCTGGTGGTTGAGGTCCACTTGGCTTGGGTGTGGGAAGATCAATGGTACTATTGGGCCTAATGGATGCGGTTGCCAGATAGGGCTGTTTCTGATAAGGGAGGAGTATTGGCTTTAGTAGAGGAGATACAAGCTTGGTTAACTCTGTGTTTAAAAGAGCTTCTTTCTCTGTGGGTGAAAACACAGTGTTTCAGGATGTACACAGGCATAAGCGTCGGAGCGTTCAACCCTTGCTTGCTAGTCACGACAGCCCGAGTGTTCAATTTGGTATCACACAGGTTGGAATCTCTGCAGCCGGTGGCGTGCTGTTTCACCATCAGATACGGATCAGGGCTCAGTTAGGGCCTCGGAGGCTGTGGAGAGTTCAGTCTTGAGATAGTGTGTGAGGAAAGAGGGGGGGGGGGGGGGAGATGCAGAAACGGTGGGAGGAGAAAGGCGGCCGACATGTTCTCATCACCACCAGAGTTTCTGCCCCACTCCCTCTCACCACGCCGTTCCAGCACAGCACGACAATGGCAGAGGTTTCACCCCAGCGCAGCAACTGCCGTTGTGGCCTCGGGACCTGAACATAACCCAGGGCAAAGAGAACGCCTGCATGTCTCTCAACCAATATGCCAGCACAGCATAACACACAGCAACACAAGGGAGAGCACAGAAGGAGAGAGCAGCCTCATCCACAGAGCAGAGGCACAAATACTTGATGGCAAGCTTTCTTTCTTCATATGAGGCACATTAATCCTCACAGTGGATCCCATCTTTATTCATTCATCAGCCTGTGGTGTCCACTCAATCAGTCAGTTAAAGGCTGGCCTGGTGGAGCGAGCCCTGCACACCCACCACAGTGAGGGAGGAGGGGAGGTTATACTCCACACCATATAGCCTGAGCAGACACTGCAGTACAGAGATACAAACAGAGTGGGTTGGGGAGGAAGAGGAGGAAATGTGAGGGGGCTCTTTTAAATAATGAGGCAATAGGGGGAGGAGAAAGGGAGAGACAGAGGGAGATGAGACAACTGGAGGTGAAAAGAGAGCAGCCTTGTATCAAGGGTGAGCGAGATTGAGAGGTTCAAAGTAAAGGAGGGAGAGAACAGTCAATATCGAGAGCGAGCAATAGGGAGACATCCAGGACGACTACAACACCTCCA